TATATTTGTTTTATATTTATACTGTTATATTTAACTAAGCAATTGTTGCTTAGTTAACTGTATCTTGATTCGACACTTTTAGCGTCGGCCGAATGTGTGTGAAAATGCTAACCGTTTTTGTGATTTTTTGGATCTTTCTGTCACGAATGACAAAATTTCATACGACAAAATTTTTCAGCGATGTTGTAGCACCTGCTTTTATCTTGCTCTTAAGTTATCGTTTAACCATCAGCTACGAACTTAGTGTTATTTCTCTATCATTGAAATCAACGCTTTTGATCCGTAAATGCTAAATAAATAATAATAAAAATAAAATGTATCCGAGCAAAAGAATTGCGTCAAGTTGTGTAATTTAATAAGGTTTGCGAACAAGGTTATAAAAGATTTGTAAATAATCATAATTAGAAAATTCATTTAGAAAAAGCATACTACATAAGAAATAAGAGCTTTATGAAAAATAGTAAGAAAATAATATTAATAATCCCAGTCAACGACTGGGTAGTTGTTTCATGATTAACACTAGATTTACGGAACCCGTCAAAATGACGGGTCACTAATTTTTTAATTCACGATTATTCATATCGTAAAGACACATTTATCAGTTATTTATTCAATTTATACGTTACAGTAACACTTGTTAAAAATCAGAATAAATGTCTTGTCGTTACTTTTATAAACTAATATAAAACAGCCGGTTTTTTGTGCTCCGTAGATCTAGCATTAAACCGAGAAACTTTAGATATGAATTTAGGACCGTAAGACAAACAGATTTTTCTTCTGGAAGTTTTCTTCACAAATGCTTCCGTCAAGAGATATTCGCTACCAAAGTTGTAGAACCTAGCAATGCAAGCCATCGCTATAATTCAGGCTTATCGCGTATATTACTGTAGAAAATTCTTGTATTTATTACGAAAGAACTGTAATTGTTACATACGTCGTTTAGAATGATGATCTCCAGCTTGGAGACAAGCATTACGCCTATCAATAACGGAAGAAGTGGCCAATTGACGTTGTACGCCTGTCGTCATTACATTACACGCTTGCGCTGTTCTCAATTTTAACCCTCGCAGGACGAACGTGGGTGGCTCGAGGATAAAAATTACACTTTGGAATCTGTTTCTCCTTGATTTTGGTACGGGTCAAAAAATGACCCTGCTTTGGCCTCCGCAAGGTTCGTCCTCCGAGAGTTAATGTTTGCATGTGATATTAAGAGATTGCTTTTGCTGAACAATATATATATATTTATATATATATATAAGCCGTTTATTTTGAAAGTGGCATAAGTCATTTTGTTTTTAAGTCGATATATTTAAGGGTTTGCGTTTTAACACGTTTAAAAATATGGATGCTAACTTTCGAGAAGATTTACTTGTATTTGTTATCTCAGGATACCGATATTTTTCTCAATATAAATAATTTCGTATAAACATTAAAAAATCACCACTTTTCATTACGGTAAAGTGACTTATGCCACTTTCAAAATAAACGGCTCATATAATAATCGCAGTTATCTCTGGTAATAAATACAACAATTTTCTGCAGCGATATACTAGATGAATCAAAATGATTTCGATAGCTTGCACTGCTAAGTTTTACAGCCTTTGTAGTAAATATCTCCTGACGGAGGCATTTGCGGGCATACTTGCAGAGGAAATATTTGTTTGTTTTACGGTCCTAAATTCATATCTGAAGTATGCCGGTTTAACCCTGACGCACCCTGTGCAGGAGCGACGATTTATTGATCTATTACGAGCTGATGATGTTTGCTTCAATTATTCAGGATCAAACCGGAGACTGTAATTAAACGCGAATCGGCTGACGCGTCTGTGCGCGGCTGGCGGTATCTACTTGCTTGAAAACCAATCGAATAAAATGGACAATTATTCGAATAATTATCGATCGGAGGCCTCTGCCAGCAATCGATCGGTCAAATTAATTAATGGAAACATTAATGGTTGTAGAAACATCGGCGAGACGGTGCTAACGAAGACTGCGAATCGGCGTTGCTCTGTAGGAAAGTTGATCGAACCGCATTTCCCGCCGGCCCGGTATTGTCAGACATTAATTACCGAAGCGCCGCAATAATTCATTCCCGGCGGAGATGCAAATAACACGCGGAACTCCGTTCAACGCGATGAATGTCCGGCGATTAGCTTCCGAAGCGCCGGGTCCCCGGTTAACGCGCGATAATCTCGATATTAATCATCGTCTTCGGAAGCGCATAACGCTGTTATTGTCTTCGGAAGGATAATTCGCGAGATCGCTGTAAAAAGATCGTTCCAGTCCGGCTTTTTGCCGGGCTTTTAATTGTGCGACGATAAATGGAAACGAGGAGACGATTGATCATCCGGGATCGTCGGTTGGATCGCGACGGTTCCACGTGAAAAATTGCGATGCCATGCTAATCTCCGGAATTATCGATTAATCGAATCAATGACTCGATTTCTTCTGGAATAAAATTCCAAGGCGACTCGCAGATACGAGATCCAGGGATCTCGGTAATTTCGCGCCAGCGCAGCGCGCGGCGCGGCGCGGCGATTTACAGGCGACTCTTTGCACTCCAATTTAGAGAATGCTCGACGATTTCCTAATTATGTTTGATTTACTACACGATCGTTTCGATCGCGGGGAAAAAAGCTAATCTCTCGGCTTCCTATTCCCGGGGCACTCCGCGTTTTGTAAATTGTTCCCGGCAAGAAACGCGACGCGAGTCGAACATCCTCGACGAATTTCAGAGGGAATCCGATCAGCCGGAGGAAAAGTTCCCGGCTGGAAAAGTGTTTCGTTATCGCAGAGCTATGTATTGCGGTCTGTGGATCGTTGAAAAGCGAGCTTCGAATTTCTTGAAATGTTGCGCGTGTCAAGGCTGATAGACCTAGTGGAAAACTTTCTAGCGGCATCGACGACGAAAGGATTTTCCTATTCCATAAAAATGTGTCTCGTCGTTGCCCTTCGTTTATTTATCTATCTCTTTCTCTCTCTCTCTCTCTCTCTCTCTCTCTCTAGCTCTCTCTTGCTCTCTTTCTCTCCCTCTTCGCAATTATGTCAGCGGTTTGGTATGAGGATTCGCTGCTACCGAGAAGCCGCGTCTCGTTGACGAATAGCGAGAAAAATGAGTCGCGGTTTCAACTGGATTCGTAACACCGTATTATTCTTTTTTCTTGCCGGCAACTACGGTTCCGCGGAATTCCCCGAAACACGTTCGAATTTATGACCGGGGAGAGTGAAGCTGTTTTGAAGCTAAGCTAAGCTGTAACGGGGCAATGTCTAACAAAGGTGACTGAAAAAAAAGGAAACATGGACGATGGGGAACAAACAAACCAATTCCGACAGCGCGCAGAGAGGCTCTACTTTTTGAAGGAGCCTCAAGGCATGCTCGAGTGTAACGTAGATTTGGCGAGCGCAAAATGCTGTTTTAATGCGACTAGAAAACGCGAGGCCCCGGGGAAGATCGAATCGGGATGTGAATGGATCGTGGAAAGAAAAAAGAAAGAAGCATGCCTCGTTGAAGCCAATAAAATATTTATGGATCCGGTGTGATGTAAATGCCGGTAATCTATTCGTACGTCAAATTACAGTGGCTATAATAAATAGTAACACGTGGTGGCTTTTTTTTCTGTCATTCGCGAGTCAGAGCCGCCGCGGCTCTTGAAATGTTAATAGAGACGGCGCTGGACTTTGCAGAAACGCTTTCTTTAAATAGTAGCACGGCGATCAAGAAATTAAATGGATAATAGATCGACACGATCTTTGACACTCGGCCATTAAATTGTACTACATTTGAAACGGTGGAACCTGAAGAAATACACAACTTGCGGGACTTCTTTGCGCCGCTAAAAACCGTGCTCCAAAAATGTCTAACAACAACGGCGCGCGTCGACTGCTAGAGTGACAAGAAAACCAAAAAAGTTGACGTCTCATTCACAATCTTGTTTAAAACCAGGCATGATATAGTATAAATCCAATGGTCCAAGAACTTTGCTTTTCCGTCTTTGTAACATAAATCACCCTGTAGCGAGATGAAGTAAAATACGATAACGTTCGACATACGATTCTTGACAATTTTTAATTTTAATTTTTAAGTTTTGTTCATTTGAACGTTCCCGCTCGATTCATAATTAACGGTAAACCTATCGAGCTCTAAAAGTGACTAACATGCGTTGCTTTATTTAAGAATGTTAAAACTGAATTTATTTAGAATATTTGCCATTATTTATAAGCTCGAGCAGAGAAATTTATTCGGTCGTTTCTTAAGAAAGGATCTTCGTAATTCGAACAGTTTGAAAATAAAGATTGCGAGATCGGTCTTTGCGACCAGCATGGTAGTTTTAGTGCTGATCCACATGACCCTAATGGTTATATTAACCTAATGGTATAACTATACGCTCTTTACTCCACAGTTTTTAAGCAAACGTTTTACAATTCTTTATAAAACAATATATTTCCCGTGTTGCAGTAAGTATATTGCAAAATATAAATAAACCCTTAACCGGTCAAGTATCGTCCATTCCCAAATTCTACAGCTATAGTGAGCAGACTTACGCCCAATAACAAGGTACTAGAAAATCGAACGTCTAAAACGTGTTTGCACCAAATTCTCAGAAGCGTCGCTAACACTAAAACCAAGAGCACAAAGGGTAGTGCTTCGTAACGATGAAAGGACGGTAGTTAATTTTTATTCTAAAACAAGCTTGTATTAAAAAATATAATCGATCGTAAAATGTATTCGGTACATAAAGGTGTCTCTGTAATGTCAACAATCTTAAAATAAAAGCGAACGAGAAATCGGTGATTTTTACCGACTTGGTTAACATCGTGTTTCTCAAGAGGGAAGGGCTAAAAATCCCAGGCCCGGTTAAAAGTCACGGTGTCCACGAGCAAGTGGACACGAGTCAACACGGAGCGATTGGATCCGCGTCTCGAAGGTGTTCGGCAAACCAGCGAGGACGCGAGACCGTAGAGAAGCCGAAATCGAAGGGAAGAATTGTTCGGTAACTCACTTTGCTCTGGACGTAGTCGAGGGCCAGCATGCAATCCGAATATCCGCTCTCGGTCTTGATCGTGGTGCCGGCTTGTCCTGGTCCGGTGGAGCAGAACCCGGAACCGACGACTCCGACGGGGCCCCCGAGTCCCGCGGCGGCCGCCGCCGCGACGCTGTCCCGGTACCACGGATACATGTTGCACCAAAACACCCGTGGAGGCGAAGTCCGCCCTTCGAAAAAAGATCTATCCCCTCGGACGATCACGCAGCAGCCCGTTCGAAACGTTCCCTCCGATTTCGAACCGCGGTCCCAGGATGCCGCGGGCCTCTGGTGACGTCACTGGGAGCACTTGCGCCGCGACTCCGTCGAACGGTGCCGTCCGAGTTCTCGGATATCGTCGAATCAAGATACACCGATCTAGTCTCTTTTCTTGCCGTGTAACTCGCACGGACAAAAGCAAATATCCCAGGAACGTGGTATCGCTGTGCCCGTCTCGACGCGTTTCACTAAAACCCGGAGCACAAGGAACGGTATAGAACGTAACCGATACACATACGTTCGACTAGCGCGGTACACTGGCACGCGCCAAACACCGCGGATACGAATCGACCGAAGGTAGGCGACGAGGCTATGTAAACAAGCCGCGTCCTCACGGAGACAAGGGTGAACACACTCTGTTATGTTTCTCCCGTGCGACGCGACCTTCGGCCAAGGGTCCCTCGGCGATAGTAAGTACAGTTTCTACTTCAAAATAGACGGCACCGGTGTGTCTTCTTGCTCTTCCTCTCCTGCCTCTGTTTCTCTTTTGACTAGATTATTCGATACGTTGCCCCCCCTCTCCCGTCGCTATCTATCTATTTATCTATCTAGCTATCTATCTATCTATCTATCTATCTTTATATATATATAGATATATGTATATATATATATATATAACATCTACATATATGCGTGTATATATGCTGTCTGTTCTTTTTTTTATAGTTTCGTGTAGGTTAAGAATTTGCTATTGCACACGCGTGATTGCACTCGTTAAACTGCACCAGACTTACTTCGATGGTCCACGAGTCCGCGGTCCTCTGTCCCTGTCGACCACGCTGCTCACTGTCATTGCACGCCTCGTTAAGTCCGATCGTGTCACTGTCTTCTTGTTCTTCTTCTCTCTCTCTCTCTCTCTCTTTCTCTTTCTCTTCCTCTATCTTCGTCTACTCGATGCCACGGTAGAAGACGTCCCGTCGACGGTCCATGTTCTTCGTCCTTCGTGTCCGAGGAACGTCGCACCGAGTGTCCTGGTTCAGCTGAACCCTGGCGGGTACCTGGGTCGGTCTACCGGGTCACCCGTGAGATAACCTTCGGCTTGCGGACGCGCCATGCGACGCCAGACACAAGCATAATCAAACCCGTGCGCACACTGCGACCGGTTCACACGCGAGATACCGACGAACAGGTCCGCGGCGACGAACGTGACGCGACCGCGGCCATTTTAACCGGCGGCGAGAAGTGGCGCGAAAACCGGCTGCGCCCGGAAAACGCAGCCTCTTTTCCGCTGGCCTCTCGTATACGCGATCGATGGAGATCCGATCGGCGCCGTTCCACCACCGTCTCTCCGCTGACAGGCGACCGTGCTTCTCTGACTTTTTTTCGCCGTTGTTTTTGCTCGGTGTAGCCAGGCCTCGGGAAAAAAACAGAACCGACGGGGCCCGGAAATCGTGAACCGTGGACCGCGGACGCGGTTTCAGCACTGACGCGGGAGTCGCGATTCGAACAACCGTTCGGCCGTGCTCGGACCTACTCGGCTGCCGTCGGCCGCGCTCCGCGCGATACATCGCGACTTGCTCGTGGCCGACCGTCGTCGGTGGGGGTAACGAGGCGCCCAGGAGGGAGGGGACACGAGGGAGGGGAGACGGGCGGGTTTTCTTCTCTTTCTCTCTCTCTTTTTAACCCCTTCTCTTCCACCACAGTCTCTCTCCGTCTCTCTCTCTCTCTCTTTCTCTCTTTCTCTGTTACTCCCTCACGGTATATCATTTTTATTATATAGTATATTATTATTTAGTAGCATATTATTTAATATAGTAGTAGTATATTATTTAATATTATAGTACATTATTTAATAGAAATACCAATAATAATTGACTTATCAGAGCATAGAGAATAGATTGCTGATGAAATGTTATTTGCACAAAACTCAACAATACTGAGGGAAGAAAAATGGAGAATCGTCGAAAGGAAAGCTAACATTTGTCGATGCCGGAGTAATTCAGTGAATAACACTTTGACTGCCGCGCCAACGGTCACAAGAATTTTATAAATTCAAAGTATTCTATTTAATCAAATTAAACTATGGAAAGTTAAGTTGTATGAGATATAATTGTATGTCAATTTGTTTCTCAACATTTTTACGTTTCGAGGATCCTAATCGACTTAGGCAGATACAATAGATCAACGTAAAAATTCATTTTCGAAACTGGGCAAATAATTCCGTAACCCATAAATGGATGACGCGTCCCGACAACGTGTTAACATCAGAACTGCCATATCAGTTAAGATGTCTGGTTTCTGATTTTCTCTTTTACATTTTCTGATATTATAAAAGTGTATCACGAGTAATTAAACTTCATTATTCAAGCGTGTGTTATAATAGAAATCGTTCGAAGTTTACATAAATTAAATTTTGGCATTGTTATGAAGCAATATGTATTAGTCACGTTTAGGGTTTATAGTTCTGGTGTTAAACAAACAGCGAACGATGGAGAACGTTCACGACGAGACCCTAGGACACGGCGAACTTTGGTGTCTTTGTTTGATAATTATTAAGATCGTAAAAATTGCAATAAAGATCGTGCGGTGTCCCGATGAATGCAGCCTCGTTATTTTTGAAACGAAATATGAACTAGACGATTTTAGAATAAAGAATATAGCGCAAAATATTTAGGGGAAAAGAAGGAATTGTAGTTGCGAGAAATAGTAGAAACCTGGAAGAATTTTGGGACCTGTTGTTTATGCAATTATGGTAAAACTAAACAGTAAAGAGATTCAAATAATTTAGGGATATTTTTACATTGTTTTCAACTTATTCGAATTTTTAAAGGAAGAAAGATATTTTCATCGAATATACGTCTCTTACAATTAACTTCGACGATATTTGTTTTGCATAAATATCCGCAGTGTAGCAATAATTATGCTGATTTGATTTCCGTTTGATTCAGTACCAACAAGCTAGAAAAGATGTGAGTGAACTTAGAACAAAAGTTATTGTAACATTAATTTTCTATCCTTTATCAATCTGATCGAACCTCTGGCTCCTAGAAAATGATATGAAACAAACATACTCGGTTGAATCCTTGAGACCAGACTGCTTGAGATCTCGCCAAGATAAAGCTGAAAGAATTCCGAATAGGCAAAAGGTTCTTTAGGGCTGGAGAAGCGAGACCGAACCCTGACCTGGTTCAACTTAATTTCACGCTGGCAGACGCGTCAAGGAATAGGTTGGAAAAGGTCACGAGCATAGCGAGGCATCATGCAAAAAGCCGCCCCTGAAACGGTCCACGAATTCCTGGGGAATTTCTTCGTAGGAAGGGAAAAAACGGTCCCTAGGATAAAAAGTCACCCCACCGAGACGAGGGGTCGGTGGACGCGTGCACAGAAATATCTCTTGAACCAATCTCCTTCTCATTTGTCTTCTACTCGTCACTCGTCAATTATTCACAGCTTCGAGGACCTCCGGAGGACTCGAAGCGTCACCCGATCGCGCTCCGCGCGCTTACAGAAAAGCGCAACGCGACAGGGAAACAATGGCGTAGCGCACAACCGTAGTGAGCAAGACGCAGGAAGAAACGAGATCTTGAATAATAGTTGCCACTCGTTTAGCAACCCCTTTGAACTTGAACCTCGAACATCCCTCCAGCGGTGTCGCTGTAAAAAGGCACCCAGCAGGAAGCGACGTCATCGACCCCCTCGGCGTGGTCCAGAAAAGAGCTATAACCACAAATCTTATCGCCAAGGGTGGAGGCAGACTAGAATGGGGTTGATGGTCACGGTTACAGGGTCACTGGACTAAAGATGCTCCACTTTCTTAAACGTCCGCAGCTAGCAGCTCTGCCGCATAGGTCAGTTCTCGCACGGAAAATTCGGAAACGGTCTCGGTGGATTTCTAGGATACGCCGCTTTATACCGTCTGAAACGAAACTTCCTAAAATACCAAAATTCACTTACTTCCAACTGTCAACACCCCCGTGTACCATCATCGAGACGATCGGCAATATTTCCCAACGTCGCCCAGAATTCCGCGACACTCTGAATACTGCGATGCCGATCAGATTGCTTAGCGTTTCGCATCGAGGAGTCGGAGCCGAAGTACGCCGACCTTGGAGAACCTAGCGCACCCTACTCGACAGCTCTACTCGAGCAATATCGCGACCCCCGGAAAGGAATTAGGCGAAGAATCGTGGCCGCCGTCTGCCCCCGCGGCGCGCTTGAAAAAACAAGCTATAACGAGAAATCTTATCGCCAAGTCGCGGGACCAGTAGTAGAGGAAGACGCGGGAGGGTGGCCGGTTAGGTTCAAGGGGGAGTTTGTCCCACCTTCTGAGCTACCTAACAAGTAGCCTGTAAGAAGAGCCGTTTCGCCCGGTGATTCGTGCTCGTAGAGCTGCCGGCGGCGTCGTTGCTGGCCGGAGGAAAAACTGCGACACGGTTTTTCGGCCAGCGAGAGACTCCCTCGAAGTTCAAGGCCATCCTCGAAGAAAGGAGAGAGAGGGGAGCTTTTTTGTTTTCTGCTGCTGGCTCCGCGACGGGAACGACCGACAAACCGACAGACCCGGCTGGCCGACGCGTCTATCTCTTCGGCAGACCGTTTTTTCGGCACCTGTTCTTCTCAGGTTGACGCGGTGACCTTTCTCCGAAGGTTACGCGACCGGGATCCTTCCGGGACCGGTCGAGAGCCTCGAGACCAGCGAGACACCCTGGGACGACGTCGAAGACCGCGCCTGGGATGGGTTCAGGAACGTTGGGTAGTCGATGAAGACGGCGAAGGATCGGTTTCGGCGGGCACAAAGGTGCCGATCAGGAAGCCGAAGAAGTGCGTCGCGATTTAGAAGAAAGAGAACGAAGGGGGTTTTGCAATGGAGGACACCGACACGCTCCGGGATTCATATTCCTGTCGTGTGTATGCTGGATAGCAAAGGAAACCGCCTCGAAACCCTTGGAAACCATCGGCGGCATTGATCGAGCTTGTTGGTCCAGGATCGCGGCCATCTTCCTCCGCCGGTTTTCACCGACCAATCGACCGGACGAGTCGGGCGAAATTTGAAAAATCCCGGGACGAATCGTCCGGATGGTGCCCGTTGGTCGGTTCTCTGGTCGGCCATGTTGCCACCGTACGGGAGAGGAAGAGGCAGGGAGGAGGGCGAAAGAGGCGGCCGGCCGGGTAACAAGAAATCTTGAAACAGAGCAAAAGGGTGGAGACGGAGATTAATGAGAAACGAATCCGGCCGGGAGAAGAGAGAGAGAGAGAGAGAGAGAGAGAGAGAGAGAGAGAGGGAGAGCCGTACGGGAAGGAAGATCGGAGGAGCCTTCTGAACCGATCCTCGAAAAGGGCTCGCCATGTTGGAAGGGAAATAGACGACATTCCCGTGGCCGTTGGCACAGGTCAGGGTTAGACGACCGTCAACTTTTCCAGCTAAGCTATTTCTTCGCTCGGTTGCTCTTTGCTCCTGAAAGAACGCTCCTAAGAAGCGACAACGCCTAACCTAGACCTCCGCGCCTCGCTTTTTTCATTCCGTGTCTCGCAGGGCTGCCCCGTTCCCCGGCCATTCGTCGAATTCCCGTTTCGGCAGAAAAGGGCGTTCCTTGATTACTCGATTAGAATTCCACGCGAACGTTTCGCGAGAATTCCGCTTCGCA